AATTTCGCCGGATCCTATCGTTTCCTGCCGGGCATCTTTGACCTGGGTACAAATGAATGCATGCATTTTACGCTTTCGTATCATAAATAGACCAATTATTTTTCAGAGGAACTATTGGTTCCCTTAGCCTAATATTAGTCCAAATTTGATATTCCAACCGATATCTAATGACAAAATTGGTGATATATAGGAAGAGGAATACATAAATGCATTAAATATGGATCAGATCATTCCTGAACAGTTCGAAACGAACAACTATTTGTGATTCGATCGTCATCTCCTTGAAAACAATCGCGAAAACCATCGACAAGTCGATTCAGAGCGATGTATTTCGATGAATTTGCACATCGAAATGGTTTTGACTTTGGACAATTAACAAAATTAGTCATTGTGGTCGAACACATCAGAAAAAAGTTTAATATGCGATTCTGGAAAGTATTAATTACAGTTAGAGTTGCTTTATCTATATCTAATTCAGAAGACTTTCGACAAGTTAATCCATGTATCATTATAGTAGCTGGAATCCATTGGCAAAGTTCGTGATCGTAACATACATAATGAGGTAAAAGAATATCGAACTCATATTTATTTGTTAGATTATTTGCATAGACAAAGCGAACATGATTCAGCATTATTGGCTGAGCAGGAAAGAAGAAAAGTGGTGGACAGGTTTTTCTAAAGAGATTTTCATTGATAGTTTTCACCTCACATTTCACTTGACTGAGGAGATTTTCATCACCATGATTTCTATTTGTCAAACAAATCAAACTTCTCCAACAATTAAATGATAAATGAGAGTTTGCATTTTGAGATATTTTTGCTGTCTTTAATTGAATGTCACGCTGGGTGCTACATTCATTCGCAGTACATATACCATCACCACATGATAGGAAACGTTCATTTCGACATGCTACTTCTTCACAATGGAATCTCGGATCTGCCTGGCACTCGGAGTTCATTGAATTAATATATTCCGTATCGCTATACTTTCCATCCGAACGATCGATACAATCTGGATTTGAAGAATCATCATTAAAAAATTCTTTTGGAATGCAAAATCCATTGCTACAACGAAATTCATTCTCTTTGCATTCATTTATATGTAATATGTCACAGCCAATTTCATCTTGACCACCATTCAAACAATCGATTTTTTCATCACATATTTCGCGCCAGTCGAGACAAGATGGTGATGGACCTCGATTATATTCTATGAATATATAACATGTTCCATTCTTGATTTCATTATTTATTTCTTCTTTAGGATACATCAAATAAGTCCACAGAATTCTATCGAAAGCCCATGTCAAATTAAATGAATATTGACAATATTCACCGAACCACAATTCTGAACAATTGTTAAATACTTCCGTTGATAAAGATGAATTTGGCTTTTCGAGAAATTCTTGATATCGTTCAATAACATCAATAGACGCAGATAATAAATATAATTGTTGACTTGTTATATTTTCTCTACGTAATGTTTCGAATGTAATTGATTTTCCATGATTGACACGGTTTTCGTGATTTACTAATAGGGTGAATGGCGTACCAAATGGACGTATACAGTAAGAAATTGGATTATATTGATTAGGATTTTTATTTGTAGGATCACATATAATATCGACTGATAGAAGATACATCCAATAACAAACAGTCATGATCCAACAAATTGTTGTTTACATGATGTGTATAATAGAGATGAAATTGAAACATCGTCACTAATACTTGAGAAATGAACAAGAGTATAAATGAAAGCCAGTAGAACATTCGAATTAGTATTATATCAGATACTTGTGAATCAAATTCGAATCACACACGTCTTCGTCGCGAAATCTAGAATATAGGCAGAATAATCTTGAAGAAAAACAAAATGTCAGAAATTTAGACTAAAATTCATAAAATTGGAAAAATTTGTTCTAATACTTAAGTTATGCCAAAAGAATAGTGAGAGTGGTGTGTTAATACCGTATAGTAAACCTAAAGACACTTTCTTTCTATATACTCTTATAAAGGAAAGGAAGATAGAGAAGTCTTGTTTTCGTCGTTGGGAATAGATGATTAGGACGCAACGAATCACATATATCAGGTCTTCCTAATCTGTTTCCTTGTAAGATTTCTCATTTATCTTTTTATGAACGATTTTTTTTGGGGACCAAAACAATTTCATCTGTGATATGAATATGGTTCTGGGTCAGTTTCAGTGAGGTATAGTCATACATTCAGTCATACCGAAACTCATACAATTAAACTCACATCCAGCACCAATTTTTTTTCTTTAAAAGTTATTTAATATAAGAATTAAATATTGCTTCGATGAGTTCTCGTTAAGTCTGGATTAGACCTGCTTCGATTATCTTCGTGTGGATCAATGAATATAATATTTACTGCTTTTGTGAAATAATTTTAAAAAATTTCATGATATTTGATTCCATGGATGAAAAAAGTGAAATATTCTTTGACTAATAATTGCTTCGAATTGAAAGATAGCTGAAATGGCTCTTAGCATGCTGTATTAAAACTGATTCATGTCGAAATCTCTCGAAGCTAAGAGAATCTTAAAGAAAGTCATAGAAAACTTCTTGCCATTTCGAACCAAAAAAACAAAAGAAATGTTGCTGAATGCTTTCTACTGTCCAAACCTAACGCATTTGTAGTCACCGTTGCAGATACTGAAGAAAAAATTATAACAAATTCAGTTGCAACCACTCTGTAGCTCATAGATACATTAACATACACATCTGTTCATCAGTTAATAGATTAAAGAACTAATATTGATAAATCAACACAACTTTGTTTTCCTAATTATATATTCATTGTCAAAAAAGAATACTATTTTACATTAAAATACGTCATACATCTTACAAATTCTTGGTTAAAAGAAAACATATATAACACTGTCCTTGATTTCCTCTTGAATTGATTATTCACTTGCCACGTATGTATGCAAGCAATATCAATGATACTCATGGAATAATTGCTTTTTATTATATGAAAATCATTGAAAATTATTTATTTTTATTCTTACATATGCTTTATATGAGTATATTTCAGTTAAAATTTCTAGTTTAATATGTTGAGATATGTATCAGTTATAGAATAGGTTGTTGAAATGAGTAGCTAAGTCGAATCTATGACAGATAAACGTTGCACCCCTAATGCTAAATAAGAACCATCAGTTATTAGAAATATTTACATTTTTTATCAGCAACTACGTAAAAACTACGTCAATCAAGCAGGAACAAACGTTTTTATTCATAGTTTAGTATGAACTATGATAACGTCAACAATGTCTCATGGTTCTTATAAAAGAGGAAAAAGAAAAAAAAAGAAATTATCTGTATATGAATGTTATCATTTATCATGGCATTATAAGTAGATAATGTTTTATATTCAATATCTATTCAATTTCTTACGCTTGATGCTATGGGTGGATGATTGAAGAGCAATAATCTATATCCACATCATACATTTACACCCAGGACCTTCCTCAAGTGAATCTCTTTGTATAATGGTCAAACTTAAGATTAGAATTGAATTTACTGAATATAGATATAAGAATATGTTGATCAAGAAATAAATTTTGCCAAATCTTTTTTACTCAAATCTATATCTACACTTCAAATGCTCGCCAATAAATTAAAATAATATTCTCCTGATCATAATTCAAATATAAAAATGAATAAAATGAAAATAATAAAGACGGTATAAATACGTAGAATATTTGCAATTAATGTACATTTACTTCTTTTCGTTCTAAATTTTATTCTTTTTTTCATATTAGGATAAAAAAGTGTATGCTGAAGAAATAATTGATACTTACAAGAAATTCAAAAAAATTTCTTTAGACTTATTTTATTGCTGCGTCATATTTTAATGTTACCTTAGATAAAGTAAATGTTTCTATTTAAATTGTTATCTATTGTTGAGTTGATGTATGGTTTTGTTAAAGTAATAAATAATAATTCTGTAACACAACTAGCTGTCATAACAACAAAATCACCTGAATTATTAGCTCAATATTGCCATTCACTTTATGCACAAAATGTAAAAAGATAATCAGAAATTACTTCTAAATGGTCTTTAATAGTTTAAATTTAATCTGGTGAAACATAAAATGTCCATTAGTGTGTTTAGGCAGTTTTCTAACATTTGATAGGTATATAGAAATCAAAGCAGCATTTAACTTATATAGTCAGAAAAAGGAAAGTCCTTACTACAAAGTAGGTCTACAAAATTAATTCTCTCCAATTTTCGTTTGAAAATCCTAGAGCAATACCAGTTCAAAGACCTAATCGCATGTTTGGTAGATGATCTCGACAGGAAGAGTTTTCAAAAAACTTCTAAAAGTCCATTGAGTAGAAGCTGAGATATGAACGTTTTACTGTTAGCGATCCATGGGTACAATACGAGTACAATTCACTCATGTATATTCGGGTTCAAATTGAACGCAATTCTGTACAGCTTAGTATCACAATTAGAAGCTAAATTCAGGTGAGCTAGATGTCTAGACGCTAAAAAAAAGTGTTTTCAGTAAACAGAGTCAAGGTAAAAATTTTGAAAAACTAATATCAGATTTGGGTTCTTCAATCTCGATTACCTTCGGTTAACCCTTATAAAAAAATATTACTTTATTAAATAATGCTTTCTTTTACGAAAAAAATTCAAGCCGAAAATTTGGAAACACTGAGTGCAGAATCGAATTCTCGGAGCTCGATTAACTTCGGTTAAGCCATACAAAATAAATGTTGCTTTCTTAAAAAATCGATTTCTTCATGAAAAAAATTGAACTTGAAAATTTTGAAAAATTGATCGCAGATTCGGATTTTGGACCCTAATTATCGTTGGTTGAGTCATACATCTCTTCGACACTCACTTCCACAGGTATCACCGAGCTCAATCTGAAGTAGAGTCATGAGACTTCAACTCGACTGATACTGAAATTTTTTCGCTCAAACGGTTTGCGTTTGGTAATTGTCTACAAATGATTGATAAAGAATAAAATTATATAAATGAGAAATAACTGGAGATCCGAAGCTGCACGTAACTTTTTGAGGGAATCGACGTTGATAAAAGTACTTCCATTTTCAAAACGTCATTCTATTATGAAGCCTTTTTATTTTTCAAATTTTCTTTTCTCCTTTCTCTAGTGTGTTATTTATGTTTTTTAAATTTGTGAAACGAGGATGTTTTAATATGCTTTTAAAACAAAAAAGAAAATTTATCTTGGATAAAAAGATAAAGTTAAAAAGTTGATTATTGTAAATTAAAGAAGCCTGGCTTAATAACAACTTTCTTCACTTGACTGAATATCAGTCTTGATAGAACTTGATTGTTTTGTATTATGCGTATTTTCTATACTTTCGCACTTTTGAAAACCCTTTGATTTGGAGCAGGACTATTTGGAATTTCTGGTAATTCATCAGATGATGAAGCTGCATAACAATAACAAGATAAATATGATTGAATCAATGAAAATATATCTCACTTGTTGTATCTATTATAGCCGGCTGTTTATTAACATGATTTGTTTGATCCCATCGATTATACGTACGGAGATTTTTACTCCTGGTTAATGTTTCCTCTCCTCATAGTATTTTATTTAAATAAGGAAAGAATATTAAGAATTCTTGAGCAAACCTCTGTGTTTATTATCATCAGTTGAATAAACGTCATCATCACTATTCCAATTACTTTCTGAACTAATAGGTGGATCTAAACAGAAATTATATATCAGACAAGATTTCTCTCATAAATTAGTATAATAAGCACTAATTAAACATACCGTTTTCATCACTAATATCACTTGAAAAAACCAAAATTCGAGATTCCGTTAAATCACGATAGTTTATTTTATCTTTTAAACAAAAAATACAAAACGAAAAGTTAACTTACGTTTTCGATCTTTACCACAGTTGACTGTACATAACTATCATCATTATTCCTAACTTCAGAACTGACCCCTAAATATTAAGATCGAATATTATCTATTAGAAAATATTAAGACAAAATCTATATACTATTTTCTGTAGTTGAAACGATGACATTATTTTTCTCGTTACCATTCGATGTTGTATCTTTATTAAAATAAATATTTTGATTATTTATAATAAAATAGGTCTGTCGAGTATTGTTAGAACTCATCAGAACTTCCCTATTATGTGTTTGGTTATCTTCTAAGGATGCTAAATTACTACTACCTATTATTATTACTTTATAAATTTCCATTTTTTCCGACTCTATTACTACTGCAATAAAACAATAACAAAAATAATAAATACAATATAAAATAGATAGCCTAGAAGTTAAGGAGGAAAGATTGTACTGTAACGCGTCGCCCATGTTAGAGTGACACAGATTTCATTTTTTTTTTCAAAAAAACTCTTTAGACGAAAATGAATATGGAAGAAAAATATATAAACTGTGTTGTTTTATTTATCGTCTTCAACTAAAGCGGCGGACGTAAATTTAAGAAACTTTTAGTATTTTGCATTTATGTGACCTCGCAATTGACTGATCGGTTCTAGAATTTAATTTTTTTTATTAAAAACCAAGTTTCAAATTTTTAATATATATCAGTTTCGTAGAGAATTAAATTCTCTACGGTGTCTACAAAAAATTGGCATGATTGAATACTTTTAGTGCCCAAATATAAATCTTG